CCCTCCGGAGTCACTTCATTGCCAAACAGCAAAGTAAACTGCATGCTCAGACAACACTGTTGCATTTTTTTTTACCAATGTATTTTTTAAGCCTTTTAAGATTTTTGCAAAATGTGAAGGGTCGCCCAAGTTTGCAGAAAAATCTCCTTTGTCTCAGCTTGGGTCCGAACCCCAGATTTAGATATTCGCAGATCTGCTCACACTTGAGAAATGGACCTATAGATGCAGCCTGTATGCCTTGCATTTCATGGCCTTTTGACAACACTGTTTATACCTCTCAAGTGTAATGAGCACATGTGCAATAAAAGCACATTAACTATCACAGAATTTTATATCATTCGCAAGCACAGTCATTTCCCGTTGACTCTCTTTCAGCTTCTGCGCTTCAAGTCAGAAGGCATTGACTGATGTGCACGCATTGTGAACCAGCCCCACGTGCCCCCTCCACAGGCATCAGAGGCAATTGTCAGCCAGGCAATGTTCAAGACAAAGGGACTAGACAGCAGGTGTGAGGACGGTTTCGCTTCCCTCGTCTGCACCCCCCCTCTTGGCTGTAAAAATCCCACTCCCCATCTTCTTTATAGATGATGAGCATCTGCCAACATCATGTCCAGTTTGGCCTTAAGCATCAAAGACTCTCTGTTTCTCGTCTGCTGGCAAACAGCCTTTGAGATCATTGGTACTCCTTATCTGCCAGCAGCAGATTACAGCGACTTCTCTGAAAATGCTTCATGGGGGAAGTGGATCAAAAACTACAAGTGAAGCCTCTGTGAAGAAGAAGCTTAAGTGTTCAACGGGGGTCTGTCGCTGGAGGGCCCTGGACCACACCTGGCCCCGGTGAACAGCCCCGAGGCAAAAGAGGGATATGTTCTAATTCCCACATGTCCTGATAATTATGCTCCTCCTGGCCGAAGTATTGTGAGCCACACGTCTTTAGCCACAGCGAAGTCTTCTTGATAACTTATGCACAGCACATATTTCTACATCCCTGGCGGTGTTTATGTTAATACAAGAATGGCAGGTCACAGGGGGGCGGGCCATGGAGAGGTTCATTACCCGAGCTTCCACCTCTGACAGAGGTCTGAGCACACACTGCGGGTCCTGGATCATCAAATGCTGGACTGGGTTCCTTGTCAATGCATTATTTTACACACTGTGAGAAGGAACACAGGCCCGTATGCACACTGCCGCATTCTCTGGGCTGCTTATTCATTTGCAGGGCTCTGTAGTTAGAGCTGAGTACCCCAATGGTCAGGCAGAACCTCTTAGGAGTTTGACTGAAGAAAATGGAGACACCGAGAAGGTTATTCCTTCAAACTGGCGGGAAGGGGCAGAGGAAAGCATTGCACCGTGGCTCTTTGGGAAAGGGCATCTGGGCGCTCACAGCTGGCGCTGCGTCCCGGGATCCTGAGAGTCCATCAACCCGTGCTTGTGACCTCTTGCTTCTCAAAGAGCAGGCGACTTCCTCGGCTTTCAGACCACCAGATTCTGGCCTCACTGCACATAAGAGAGGTCACGTATTTTCAACCTGTGAAGGCACATGTGCGACTTGTTGGAACATAAATATACACCATGTGTTTGCACAGCCTGACAGGTGACACCATTTTTTGTGATGGGACAGACCGCAACTACAGATGTGCGCCCTTCCCATGTTTAATGTTCCGACCGCAACCAGAGGGAGACTCTGTGACTGAGTCCAAAGCTTAGCCCTGCCCTGACAGACTGAGGGGACAGCAGGATCCGGCCTCTACGTTCCTGTTTAGTGCTCTAGCCGCTTCTTCCGGAGCATCTTGACACTCCGCTGAAGGAGGAGGCAGCTCTTACAGCCATAGCTGGAAAACCGCAAGCAAGATCCTGCCGGTGGACCTCCCTCCTGGGTTTTGGCCACTGTTTGACACAGAGTGTGGGGGGGGACTGGGTGGGCCACTGGCCTGATCCAGCACGGCTCTTCTTATGTTCTCCTCCCCACTACCACCTGCATCTCCCTATCCTCGTACCTGACCACATGCAACTTTTTTTCCCTAAGGAGCACTTAGATCTCTCATTATGAGATCGTAAAAGGTTTCCTTTTGGTTATTACTGACTGCATTCATTACCTTGTAAATGCCACTCAATTACCTTAAACGCACTCTCTTTTTGCAATTTAATCTCAAACTGTCCTGTGAACCCTCCTCCGCACAAAATCCCATCTCGTGGGAAGCGGCAAAGCAGCGCTCCCTGTGGACTGTGACCACGGCCTCCCCTTCCCTCCTCACCCCACCTCCTCTCTCACTGGCCGCCCGTCAGCCAGCTCCCTACCACGTGGTGCCTTCAGGCACACAGTTAACTCGGGTGCCTGACAACCTACGGCTTATGTACGCTGTAGTGAAGGTGACTGGGGGGTGTGTGTGTGTCAGAGGTTACGGGATTGTGTGATGCTGCTGTAGGGGAGGACCTACAACTGAATACAAAGACCCAAACCCTCCTGCTAAGACGAAGGCAGCACTTCGCTCCATGGTCAGGAAGGTGAACAGCTCCTAGAGGACCTCCACAAACTGGGCAAGTCTGCAGCAATGCGACAAATGAAGTTCAGCATTGGTGAGTGTAACGGTGATGCACATTGGTACAAAACGAAGAATCCCAACTTCAAGTCTAGGCTAAGGGGGTCTGAACCTGCTGAGACTGAGAGGGGAAAAAGATCTTGGGGTCGTAGTGGGGAGAGCTCAATGAAAGCGTCACCCCAGTGCACTGCAGTGAAAAAATATGTTCAGGATTATTAGGAGACTGAGAGTGAAACGGCCAATATTTTAATGCCCCTGTACAGATCGGTGGGGCGGCCTCCTTTGGGATGCAGCGTACGGTCCTGCTCACCCTATCTCCAAAAGGACACTGCGGAGCTGGGGAAAGTACAGGGGAGGGCAACCAAGATGACGAGGGGGCTGGAGCCCCTTCCCCGTGAGGAAAGGCTGGAGAGTCTCTGGGACTTTTCAGTTTTGAAAAGAGATGCCTGGGGTGGGGAGAGCTGACAAAAAGTTTCTCCCTCTCCCAAAACACTAGAACTCAAGGACAGCCAATGAAACTCATGGGCAGTAAGTTCAGGACGGACAGAAGGAAATACAACTTTACACAGAAAGTGATTAAAATATGGAATTTGCTGCCAGAGGATCACAGAACCACAGAGTTGGAAGGGGCCATGTAGGCCATCCAGTCCCACCCCCCTGCTCAGTGCAGGACCAGCCTAGAGCATCCCTGAGAAGTGTTTGTCCAGCCGCTGCTTAAAGACTGCCAGTGAGGGGGAGCTCGCCACCTCCCACATTCCACTGCTGCACAACTCTGACTGTAAAAAAGTTTTCCCTAAGATCCAGCCGGTACCTTCCTGGATGTAGCAACAGCCACAGGAATACACAGCTTTAAAAGGGGATCAGATAGATTCATGGAGGATAGGTCTATCAGTAGCTCCTGGCCATGGTGACTGGGGGGAACTTTCAGATTCAGAGGTACCAAGCCTCTGAATCCCAGAGCCGGGAGGCAGCATCAGGGGAAGGCCTCAGCCTCTGTTGTTTCGACCTCCAGAGGAACTGGCTGGCCCCTGTGTGAGGCGGGAGGCTGGACTGGAGGGACCCTCACTGGTCTGACCCAGCAGGGCTCTTCTGGTGTTCTTATCTGTTATTAATTTACATTCTACTTGTTTGAAGCCTGTTGAAAAGCACAGGTTGGACAGGATGCCTGTTAACTGCACGCACCCCAAAATTTCACTGAGAAAGGTCACACTACATAGGCAGACTTGTTCTTTCTAGAACGTTCCTCCAAGTGAGATGTTTGTTTGTATGAAACAGTATTATTAAATTATCTGCAAGTGAGCTGACTGGATATTCAGAAGATTTCTCAAGCTGAGCCTGCCATTAATCATCTCTGGAGTCTGAGAGGCAGAGAGCACTCCCCTCTCATTTGCAGCCCGAACCTCTGCTTTGAGGCACATCATGAGGCAGACACAAAAGTTCCAATGCAAGAGTGCCCCCAAGAGTGCCGTGAACTTGCCTTTAAGCGAGCCCTCTTACAAATGCTGGAAGTGACCTTGCTTCATTACTGAAAACACGGACTGACAAACAGAGGGATAAACATGACAAGAGGGGGATTCCAGGGCTGGTTTTCCTTAGGATGCCATTTCACAGAACCGTGTGGAGGGACCAGGGAAGCAGCGCCCACCTGATGATGTATTCATGGCACCCAAACAGCAGCCATCCCAACATCTCACATCCCGGTCTTAGACACACGACCATTAGAATCAACTGGGACTGGCATGTCAAGACAGAAGAGTCAACCCAACTGAAGAGCACAAAACTAATGGGGAAGACTTTGGAGGAATGAGCACCTCTCCTGCCTGGTTTCACTCAAACAAGAGGCGTGGCAGTGCCCAGGGCTGTTAGCGATCTCGGAATTCTCTCACACATCTGTGAGGCCCGCTTGTGACACAACAGCTTCTCACTGTTTCATATGTCGATTCTGCTCTCAACAGTGCCAAATCCCATTTAGGGGGCAGAAGCAAATGAGACAGCTGAGAACTTTGTAGCTGAGGCGGAGTGAGTCGATAAGTGTGTCACCCAAGTCTAGTCTCGGTCTCAAGTTCACCCAGGGGCTCACCCTGCTGTCTGCCATGTGGGGCTAAGACTTACTGACCTCCCTGTCGTACTCAGAACACACACAAAGCTGTCTAAAGGCTCAGAGGTGTCCAGCGTCTCCATCTTTAAAGGTCAAGGTTCCCTTGCTCGAAAGCCAGTCGAGTCCGACTCTAGGGTTGCGGTGCGCATCTCCGTTTCAAAGCCGAAGAGCCAGCGCTGTCCGAAGACGTTTCCGTGGTCATGTGGCCGGCATGACTAAACACCAAGGCGCACGGAACGCTGTTACCTTCCCACCGGAGGGGTACCTATTTATCTACTTGCAATTTCTTGCTTTCAAACGGCTAGGTTGGCATCTTTAGGCACCAAATGAAATCTGTAACTTGGCTAAAACAAAATGCACAAATACTCGGAGAGGTATTATCAGGACTAATCAGCAACATAAAATGTTTCTGCATACACTTTACTGAGTTGAAACCTGAACGGCAGGGTTGTCTGGGACTAGGGAGCCTTCATAAATCAGCAGCACACACAGAGCCCCTGACAAAGGCACCAGCCGCCACTGCGGCGCCACAGGGACCAGCGACCGGACCCCCTTCCGTTCTATTGCCACGAGAAGAAGATGAGTTTCATTTTCCCACTCGCTTGGGCCTGGGAGGCTTCTCAGAACCTGACTTGTGCACGGAAGTGCATCTGCTTCGTAGCGTTGTTCTTCAAGCCGGTCTTCAGCATCCACTTTGCTTTCATCTGCTGAAGGTACTGCATGTCACGCCCACGAACGAGCCCCGGCCCTGGAGGGGAAAACGGAGCCAGAGGAAGAAGAGTTGGTTGCCATACCCTGCTTTTCTCTCCCTTAAGGAGTCCCCGAGAAGCCTACAATCGCCTGCCCCTCCTCTCCCCACCGCAGGCACCTTGTGAGGCAGGCGAGACGGAGAGAGCTCTGAGAGGACCGTGACTGGCCCAAGGTCACCCAGCAGGGTTCACCTGGAGGGGAAGTGGGGGATCAAACCTGGCTCTCCAGGGTAGAGGCCACCACTCTTGACCACTACACCATGGTGGTCAACGTCTCCTTATACCAAAGAGGATCAAAGTACCAGATCCTCCTTACGTTGCGAAATGGGAGACGTGTCGATTCCCCCCCCCCCCGACATGCGGCGACTGTCACGCATCAATCGAATCCACCATACTGGAGCTTTAAACTGATCAACAGAATAAGCCTTAAGCAGCTTATACAGTCCCGCATTACACAGCCATCTAAGCACCTCTGGAAATCACAAGAACATATCCAAATACTCGAGAGCATTTGGAGAAAGTCAGGCTTTCAGGACTGAGAGTCCTAGAAAGATGACAAGGCATTCTGAAGACAACATGGATCAAGTGTCCTCCATTCTTTGGAAACAACGTACCACCTTCTGTGGAAGGAGACACCGTACGCCTGCCAGGACTGGGTAGCTGTTAGATTTGGGTACATCTGTAGAACCGCTGCACGTGGGGTTCAGAGAGAGACGCCTCCCCGGGGCTAGAAACAGCAAAACACCAGTTCTGTTGGCCTACCTGTGCTGCCCGTCCAGCCCAGGGCTTTATACTGCTGCAAAACTCTGCCCACTCTCTGTTTATTTTTGCTGACGGCCACCGCCTGCGAGGAGCCAAATCTCTGCTTGTAGTATCTCATCAGGGAACGGTGACCGATCCTGGCACCTTTGGAAGAAAGAACGCCTGGAGATTAGAAGCAGCAGCTCAAGTGGAACAACTTCCAAGACAAGCTGGTGAGCGATGGCTGGGATGCCACTGGTGACACGACTCTGTGGAACCCGGCATCTCCCAAAGGCATGGAAAGAGCTGCAGATTTACCCAACAGTAAAGAGAAGCAACAGCGGCGGCAGCAGCAGAAGCCTGTCTAATAGGCATACACCGAGTCAGGGCAGCAGAATTCCAAGGGACACTCACCTGTACCCCAGTGACGCTATAAAGACTTCCTTCTGAGTAAACAGGCTTCAGAGTAGATTGCAAGGCGCCTTTACGCAAGACACGGCAGCTAGGCGAGGACGTGGGCCCAATATTTTTAGAAGAGACCAAGACCCTCAGTGAACTTCAGCTTTGATGGCGGGGACGGATACAGGGTCCAAAACATTCCTCTTCCAGAGGGCCTGCCGTCCAGACCAATGTTCCCTCTAAGCTGTGGAGTCTTGTGAGCAGAAATTCTACTTTGTGGGCTACCGGGATTAAAGTTGTGAGCGAGGGATTTGGCTGCTGCATCAGTTAGTTTGCTCTGGAGCCCTCATCCCGAGCTAAGACAAAAATGTGTGAGCCGGAGGCTAAGAAACTGTGAGTTAGCTCACACTAACTCAGCTTAGAGGGAACACTGATCCAGACTTTTCAAAGGCCCGACAGATGCTCTTTCCCACCCACAGACATCAGCTCCTTGCTTTTGCATTTGCAACTGAACGGCCAAGCAAACCCTCCTTCGGGCCAAGTTTGAGCTGGGAGCTACCAGCTGCTGACCCTCAGCCTAGCAGCAGAAGCTAAAACAGTCCAGGGAAAGACTGGTGTGTCCCTCCCCCCCCCCGAAAGTGTCCACAGGCGCCTCCTCTGTGACAGCAGGGGTGGACAAACGGGCGGCCTGGAAGGTCAGGGCTCCAGCACTTCAATACGATAACAAGGTACAAATCCAGACGGAGCACAATTAGGTGGGCCAAGTATATTTTCAGACTTGGGAGAGATGGCACGCTGGCTGTCATGGGCGGCGGCACCGAGTCCCCGCCTGAGTCGGCACCGCGGCCAGAGGCGCCGGCATCGCCAGAGCCAGAAGCCGGCCCCTCTGACTCCTCACAAGTCGATAGCTGGCCAGCGCCTGAGCCTGGAAACCCCACCCCTGGCCCTGCAGCAGCCAAGGAGGTGCAGGTACAACCGGGGAGCCCACCTGACTCTCCTCCGGGGGGGGGGGTTCGGCTGAGGGAGCGGCTCCACAGAGACTTAGCCACCCACTGCCGAGATGCACGCGGGCGGGGAGGGCGAGCGCCGAGTCCTGGCAGGAGCGGCACGGCCACCACGGGAAGGCCAGCCAGAGGCCTAGAAAGCTCCCACTCTGGATTGGGCTCTCGCAGAAGCAACGCGTCGCCTCCGTGCGTGCCTGCCACCCACCCTCGGCTCCTGTCCTCGGACCCCCACTCTGGCTCGGACTCCTGGCTCCCTGGCCCCTGCTTCGGACGGCCCCTCTTTCGGACTCCCGATTCGGCGCTCGCTCGGACTCTCCCGGCAACGGCCTCGGACCGGACTTGACTCCCGCCTCTCAGCCCAAGCCCAGCCCGTGACACTCGTCTTCCTAACCCTGCAGCAAGACAGCACACCGGGGAGGTTTATTTAAGCAGCATGCTCACCCGATGGTAAAATTAGCTCCATCGATTCATCGTCGTACTCCACATTCTTCTCCAGCGGCAGCTCTTGAGATGCTTCCGCCTCCTCGCCTTCCTGGTAGTCAGGGTAACTGCTCCTAGGGGCCAGGAAGAGCAACGTCTCACAGGAGAAGGAAAAAAACCAGATGGAAAATGGGAGCTGGCCCCACACCAAAGCCTCCACCCTCAGCTGCGCTAGTGGCAACCGCTGCCGCACGCGCCCCTGCCGGCGAGGATCCCGAGGCTCCAGAGCAAGAGAGAGACTCTGGCAAGAGATGCCCCACGACACTGTTATGACCTGTCCAGATGGACTACAGAAGCAACTACGAGGGCCAGTTTGGTGTAGCGGGTGAAGGGCGGCAGACTCTGATCTGGAAAACCGAGTTCGATTCCCCACTCCTCCACATGAAGCCAGCTGGGTGGCCCTGGGGTCAGTCAGAGCCCTCTCAGCCCAAAAAACAAACTTAGCTCACCACAAAAAGAGCTAGAGTTTCAGGCTGCCAGACAATCTTCAGATCTCCTGACTCTACTACACCCACTGCCATGAGAGAACTATTACGACACCAGATGGGCCCTCACTGGTCTGATCCAGCAGGGCTCCTCTGATGTTCTTCTCAGGGGAAGGCCTCGGCCTCTCTGCCCTGTTGTTGGCCCTTCAGAGGGACTGGCTGGCCCCTGTGTGAGACGGGAGGCTGGACTAGATGGACCCTCCCTGGTCTGATCCAGCAGGGCTCTTCTTGGGTCCTTATCAGGGGAAGGCCTCAATCTCTCTGCCCTGTTGTTGGCCCTGCAGAGGAACTGGTTGGCCACTGAGTGAGACAGGGGGCTGGACTAGATGGACCCTCACTGGTCTGATCCATCAGGGCTCTTCTTCTGTTCTTATGGTGGGTTCCACAAGTTAAGCTCTCAAGCCCATCACTCTGTACTCACATTAAAGAAGATCAGAACCTACCGGAATCTATCTTCATGTAAGGTACTGCATTAAGCCACTTGGAGTGGAAATCCATCAACCTCATGAAAAAGCTTGTTCCAGTTTGGTCCTTGCATCCGGTAAACACCTTTATTATGCTGTATGCTAATTTGCTGCCCACCCTCTACCTATACGTATGGACTGATAACTTCCACTTCAATGTATCTGAAGAAGTGTGCGTGCACACAAAAGCTTATGCCCAGAATTAAACTTGGGTTGGTCCTGAAGGTGCCCCCACTGGACTCCAACGTTGCTGTGCTGCTTCAGACCAACACGGCGACCCACCTGAATCTAGGATCAGAACATGTGAGGGAGCAATGTCCAGCAGATACTTAAAACCTACCTCGCAAAGACTATTAGCCACCTGGTACGAAACACTTGCAGGGCAATCTAACACCACAGGGACTATCAGCTGTGAAATTCCCGTTTATAAAATCTCAAACTAGTCTGTGCACCTCCCATTCTTTTCCGTAAGGTTTACGCAAGAGAAACTTCCCGTTGAATACCCGTCCCTGGGGCGGGAATAGGATACTGGTCCATCAATTGCTACAGGATTCTAAAACTTCATTTGTTTGCACAGGAAGCTACTTATCTAAATGTTGCCCAGAGTGTTTGTCCCTGCTGTCCACTACCCTTCCCGCCCCCACCCACTGAAGAAGAAGATGAGATTAGATATATACCCTGCCCTTCACTACCCGAAGGGGTCTCAAGAGAGGCTTACAGTCTCCTTTCCCTTCCCATCCCCATAACAGGCAGGCACCCTGTGAGGTAGGCGGGGCTGGGAGAGCTCTGAGAGAACTGCCCTTGAGAGAACAGGTCTGAAAGAACTCGTGACTGACCCAAGGCCACGCCAGCAGCTGTACGTGGAGGAGTGGGGAATCCAACCCAGCTCTCCAAGATTAGCGTCCGTGCTCTTAACCACGACACCAAACTGGCTCTCTTCCTGACCAGCCCAACCTCATCTCTAGCTAGCCGTTTCCCACTGCTGCAAATAGGGCTGGAAAAACTTCACAGGAGCAGACAGCGGCCTTGTCCTCAAGAAACTTTTATCACAATACAAGAACTCGTGGGCACTCCATGAAACTGCTGAGCGGTCGGGTTAGAACGGATAAAAGGAAGTTCTTCACCCAAAGAGTGATGAACACTTGGAATTCCCTGCCACAGGAAGTGGTGGCGGCTACAAGTATGGGCGGCTTCAAAAGGGAATTAGATAAGCCTATGGAGCAGAGGTCCATCAGTGGCTCTTAGCAACAAGGTATAGATAGGGGCTCTGGGGCAAGTGATGCTCTGTCTTCTTGGTGCCGGGGGGGGGGGCTCAACAGTGGGAGGGCTTCTAATGTCCTGGCCCCACTGGTGGACCTCCTGATGGCACCAGTATTTCTGGCCACTGTGTGACACAGAGTGTTGGACTGGATGGGCCTTTGGCCTGATCCAACATTGGCATCTCTTATGTTCTTAAAGGCCAGATAGATTATTTTTGGAAGTCTCCCAGTCCCCTACCACTCCACTGATGCTCGTGAGGACTCTCTGTGCGCAGGCTGCAGGAGGCAACTACTCCCTGCACCCTAATCAACCTGTCGTACAGGAAGACCGAAGCGACCGCACAGTCCTGGCCACCAACACGGGACTTGCTTGTGTCAGGCACTAGAGCAGTAGGACACAGAGTCTCGTGAAAACAGCTTCCAAGCTACACAAGGTTAGCATTTTGGGGGGCCAAGTATAACTGTTTACGTCACTGTTTCCAATCCAAAACACAGCTGGCAGCTATGGTTTCCCACCTGAAGTCATAGAAGTCAGCAAACTCCAGGGCAGCATCTCCCTCGGTGAAGAGCTTGCAGTGGCTCTTGTCTTGCATGTGCGCCTGCACCGACTCTGTGGTGTAGAAGGACTTCCCCTTCTCGTTGCACCAGAGACAGACCTTCCCGACGCCAACCTTCTCTCCTGCAAGTTGTGAGGGGACAGAGAGATCACACTCGGGGTCTTACGCCACGTTCATCAACACCTCCGCTTGCTTCACAACTTTCTACAACCCGATGCTGCTCCTCGTGTGAAGAACCGAGGCAAATGCAAAGAGGTCTTTATACTGGAAAATATCTTCTTCTACATACATATCTGATGGAAATGCCTACATAAAAAGATTGAGTTCATAGAATGGTCCGTTTGTACAAGCTATCCCCACCCCCACCCCGCGCAGGAGTTTCTAGTTGGCCATCAGAGATGGTAACAAACTTGATTGTGCGGGGACCCTGGATCCTACATGCATTGTTCATCAATTGCTGACTAAGTGTAGATTTCATCAAGTAATGAAAGAAAGAAAGATCAAGCAATGGGGACCGCATTTCCCCATACATTCCCCAAAGAGCACTTCGGTCGGGGTCACAACACCAGCTGGTGACCCTGAGCCCTAAGGAGGCCAAGCTTGTGGCAACAAGGGCCAGGTCTTTTTCAGTGGCGGCTCCTACCTGGTGGGACGAGCTCCCGGTGGAGATCACGGCCCTGCGGGACCTTGTGCAGTTCCGCAGGGCCTGCAAGACGGAGCTCTTCCGCCAGGCTTATGAGTAGGAGCCGCCACAGCCACTTACACCACCGCTCTTTATAAGGAGAGACCACCGGGGGGGTGGGGTAACATCTTTCCATCACCCCAGCCTTCCCCCCGTTACACAAGATGTTAGGAGTTATATGTGCATCCGCAGAACTGATTTTAAGTTGTTTTAATTATGTATTCTGTATCATGTAATTTGTATACTGAACGCACTTGGTGCCTTATGTGAGCCGCCCTGAGCCCGCTCGCGGGGCGGGCGGGGTATAAATGTCATTAAATAAATAAATAAATAAATAAACGTGTCAATAAACCCAAAGAGTTGCTTCTGCTGTCAAAAATCTCTTCTTCTTCTTCTTCTGCTGGCCCAGCATTGTCTTCTGTTATGTATTTTGGTAAACACCCACAGCATTCTTCCCTCCCCACAAACATAAGAGAGGCAGAGTGGGGTGGTGGTGAAGAGCGGCAGACTCCAGTCTGGAGAGCCAGGTTAGATTCCCCACTCCTCCTCCTCCTCCTCCACCTGAAGCCTGTGCTGGGCGATCCTGGGCCAGTCACAGTTCTCCCTGAACTCTCTCAGCCCCACCTGCCCCTGTTGTGGGGAGAAGAAGGGAATGTGATTGTCAGCTGCTTTGACACTCCTTAAGGGAGAGACAAGCAGAGTAGGAAAACCTCTTCGTAACAGAATTGCACACAGATCACTGAATATGGCCTACGCTAGAATGCAAAGATGTCAGGAAATATCCAACCTTTTATATTTGAACAAGCTGTCAACTGTAACTAGAGATGTAAACTTTCCAAACATTTTGAAGCCATGGGGGACGACGACATTTTTTTTGGAGAAAAACCTGGAAATTGGGGGGGGGGGGGGAGAGCAGGGGGGACTGAAATATACACAATACTTACCGTCAGATCAAACATAAACTAATTTTAATGTGTTGACATAAAATGCATAATTTATAACTTAGCATATAAAATTGCAATATTTTACATATTTATGGAATTTAAAAGTTAGAAATGCCTTAGTTTTGGACAAGCAAACCCGCAAATGTACCCCATAATTCAGAGAAAACTGCAAGCCAATGCACCCTTTGCTGTCTTTGCACATGCACATGAATTTCTGCTATCCAAAAGTAGAAAAATTAGGAGTTAACAGCTTTGGGGTAAATAATATAAAGTACTATCAAACTATGGTGATTAAACTCTTGGATTGAAGAGCCGTATATGTCTACAGCATGCCCACCCTGTCTTTGAAAGCATTTAATTCATTCTAAAAGAGAAAATATTTCACAGGAGTTTTCTCAGTACTCCCCCAGATTTCCAATTTTTCCATCGGGCCTAAACCCCCCCCCCCAAGGAAAAAATGGTTTTGCCCCCAATTTCTCCCCTGGGCCTTCCCATCTCCAACCGTAACCAACAGAGCAGCCATTGGCTGAAAAAGGACTGGGATGTGTCTCCCTGGTAAGTCCCGGACACCTGCTACGGCTCCTCACACCAGGGCGCGGAAGAGAGACGAGGGGGACAGAGTGAAACGCCGAGCTCTCCAGCATTATGGCTTCCTTAACAGGCCTTATGTTAATGACATGATTGGATAACATGATTAACACGCCGGATGCCACAATCCTAAAAATACCTACCTGGGAGTGAGCCCCACTTTGAACGGTCACCCCCAGGATTTGCGCTGCAGGACGGCCATTCTAAGCCTTGCTTCCGAAGAGGATGGTCACGAGGCCTTAACTTGAACGATATGCCAGTGCAGACAGACCAGTGCCAAGTTGCACCACCAGACGCAACTCTGATGCTGGCATACAAATGGACAGCACTGGAGTGGGCCTCAGTTGGCATGCTAAGCCTCCCCACCCAGCCCTGGCCATGCCCTCAGTGTTGGCACGAGGCTATGCCAGTGACAACCCTCTTTTACATCCTGCAAGTTCCAGCTCAGGTTATAGGAAGCACAGCAAGGGCTGGCCTTTTGTGTCACATAAACACAGGACATATATAGGGGAAGGGGAGACTTATGATGATGGGAAGCCCCCCCGGAAAAGCCCCTCAGCACACAACGGGAGCCCCTCAGTACAAGAACAACCAACGTTGTTTGAAACACTGCTCTGAGCCCTTCTACGTAACCCTGCCTCACCCAGAGACAAGATGACTGGTGTGTGAGGCAGCCGATCGGCATGTCTACAGCTCATCTCATGAGACTACGGGTGGCTGTGCAAAAACTAGAAGGAATCCTCTAGACATCTATTTCTTGCTCCTGTTTAGAGATGGGTTTTGAGATGTTTCAGTCGCAAAGCACAGTATGCATTCTGTTGACTGAGGAGGGCCACATTGTAGATCACACTGATTTGCATAGTCTCCCCCCCCCCCCCCCAAAGGCACAGGGCCCCCTTGAAAAGCAAAATGCAGCTGGTGTGTGCCTCGGAAGACTCCTGTAATGTCATGGGCTTCTTGAACCCCTTCTCTACCCGTGGTTTTTCTGCCAACAACCACCCAAGGAAATGCCTTCCTTCTTTTTGCCTCTACCCATCTACACCATGGCGTGGTGGATACTTTCTGATGAAGTAGTACTGAGTCATGCTGCGTTATTCCCTCAGAACTGATGTGGACAAGGGTGGCATAGCTTCCACAGACTTACCTAAGTACTCAATCAGTCCTCTGAGATCCACAAGGTATTCTATGTCCGGGATAAAGAAGCCGTGCCCCTGGGTCATGTGGGCCACGTTCTTCACGAGGGAGCTGGAGTGGTGGGAGCAGAACAAGCAGTCGGTCACGGGGATGGCCTCCGCACGGAGGGGGTCCTGCCCGGCCGCCTTCCCTTCAACCTCCGGGCCGTCTCCTTCCATCTCCTCTTCTGCAGACTCCACACCTTCATCCGAATCAATGTCTTCCCAACCTTTTAAACCAAATTAGAGCAAACAACGAAAGAGACAGCTTTCCCACGGCTACAAAACAACAACAAAAGGACCTGCACTCTATTACAGATGTGCAACAACAATTCCATGCAACCAACTCATGAGCTGCACAAAAGAAGCACATGTGGCTGCTGGAATCAAGACCCCCCCCCCCCCGGGGCCTGTTCTCCTCACGGGGTGATGCAGTTAAGGAGGAGGCTGACCACCCAGCAAGAGCAGCGGCAGATGCAGTTAGCAGCTCTGGAAGGCAGAGGCCGGAGGAGCCCGTCGGGTGCAATTGTGATCAATGTTCCCTCTAAGCTCTGGAGTATTGTGAGCAAGAATCCTGCTTTGTGAGCTACTGGCATTAAAGTTGTGAGTGAGCGATTTGGCCACTGCATAAATTAGTTTGCTCTGGGGCTATCCTCCCTAAGCTAAGACAAAAATGTGTGTTTGGCTCACACATTTTTGTCTTAGCTTAGGGAGGATAGCTCCAGAGAAAACTAATTTATGCTAAAAAAACTGTGAGCTAGCTCACACTAGCTCAGCTTAGAGGGAACACTGGTTGTGATGGATTTCCTGGGAGGCTCGTTACCACCCCACAGGATTTCCCCCGCCTAGCAATTTCCTGCCCGCCCACCCCGCTGTGCCAAGGTTCTCAGTGGGAGACTGCAGATGGTCTGTGGAGAGAGAATCTGGCCAGAACAAAAACCCACCCAAGCTAGGACTGATAACATAGAAAACTAACAGGCACGAGATGGTTTACTTTTGCAAACCTGAACAAGGTTTAATCTGGGATGCTCAATTGCACACAATTCATGCTTGAGAAAATGTCTCTCTCGGGCAGGACTATAACATATAAAATGCCGCCCTCTGCTGCAACTGAGTTATGCACCAGACCGGACTGACGTAATGTAACCTCTGCATTATACCTGCAGTTCCCCAGACAGGGAAATTTAACCAAGTGGCACAGAAATGCTTCAAGCAACAGAGAAATCCAAGTAGCAAACTGAAAGGAGACGGGTCCCCGATTATTCCCGCCACCCAACCGTTGAAAAAGGCTTCCAATGCCCAGTCTTCAGTCTGCACTCCCGCTCCACACACCCAGCGTGGCACAGTGGCTAGAGTATCAGACAAGGACCTGGGAGACCCAGGTTCGAATCCCCCCTCTGAAACAGAAGATTACCGGGTGACCTTGGGCCAGTCACTCTCTCACAGCTTTAAAGGGTTGCTGGGAGGGTAAAAGGTCAGCCACTCTGGGCACCCATGGGCGGGGGGGGGGGGGGGGGGAAACGGTGGGGTATAAAGGAAATTAAGAAGCAAATCAATACATCCATTGGTCTTGCCGCAGCCAACTGTCTGTGCCCTGTTACCTTCCTCCATGTCCTCCTCCTCAGACTCCTCGGCCAGCCTCTTGGCCTGCTCCTCAAACCACTGGACTCGGGGAGGCTTCTCCGGCCGCTCTCTGCTCCTTGCTGAGCTGTGGCTTTCTGCTGCGACCGAAGAGCCGGCAGCTTCCCCGGCTGGCCCAGAGGCCTTCTTTGGTGAGGACGACGGCTGGGCTTTGATGGCCTGCTGGATGGCAGCGTTCATGGCATCCTTGTCAACGTTCTCTTGAGCAAGCCCTTTCTCCAGGTTCTTCTCGTTCAAGAGCTCCACCTTCTTGCTGACCGCTTCGACGGCTTTCTTTTCGAGCTCCAAGTGCTTCTTGGACTTGAGGTGGTTCTCGTAGGCATTGAAGTTGGAAAACCGCTTGCTGCACGCGGCGCAGTACGTGGCCGTGGCCTTGCCCTCCTCCTCCAGGCCCGCCCTCTGGGCCAGAACCCTCTCCTGGAAGTTCTCGGCAGTGACCGGAGGCATCTCGGCCACCTTCCGCTTCAGGTTGTACCTGTGCCAGTCAGTCTTGTAGTGGGCACGCTGGACATCAGCATCCTTGAAGGCCACACGGCAGGTGATGCAGGTGTAAGACACAGTGCCTGGAAAGGAAAATGAGCAAATGTGCCAACAGAACTCAGAAAAAGAGGGGAAAAACCCTGAGAATAGCACAACACAGGTATCATTGACAGAAAATGCTGAAGTAGAAAAGAGCAACAGTCTCGTAGTTCCTTAAAGACTAACAAAATTTGTGTCGGGGTGCTTCAGACCAAACCGGTGACCCACCTGAATAAATGAGAATTGCGAGAGATTTGGGAAGGAGGGGTAGAGTGATTCGGAAAAAGAGTAATCAGGTTTTGAGTTGTCTAGCTGTGACACTGCACAGTCCTTCTTGAAGGACAAAGTCTGAGTCCAGTGGCACCTTTAAGACCAACGACGTTTTATCCTGGGTATATTGCACACGAAAGAGCTGACGCCCGGGATAAAACTCTGGACTGAAACTTTGTTCTGCTGCTTCAGACCAACAGGGCTGCCCCCACCTGAGTCTATCGATCCACACTGATGTTCTAATCGAGAAGACCCGCTCAGGCTTGCTGAATGCCTTGGTCTCACAAACAGCACTTCCGCCGTGGGGTGGAAGGGTCAAGTGCCTCATTCAGGAAATCAGGAGAGCTCAGCCCTTATGCCTTTCTGATGTGTCAGTTTTCTGTGCACAGAGATTTGGGGCTGGGACGGAGCAGCATTTCACCTCCTTCAGACACAGGATTGCTTCTTTTAACTGGTACCTGTGAGACCAAGGCATCCATCGACAGACACGACAAAACTCATCAAATTCTATATCCTCGTTTCAGTTTAGTTTATACTCAGCAGATCAAAATAGTACGGTCATGACCTCGGGGGGGGGGGTCTCCACCTTCTGCCGCCACCACCCTGGACTCAGGGTCCCCCTGGTACCTTCTCAAGCCCCTTCAAATCATCCCCCCTTTTTAGCCGAGAGACGTAAGCGTGATGACCAAGGCAGAGAAACAATTAAACAGAAAGGGTCTATTATTACAATCCTGGGCAGGGGGAAAACGAGACAAGACCCGGTGCTTTATCATACACAACAGTGTTGAAAGGCCAGAAGAAACACAAAGCTAACGTGGCGACCGATGACTACTCCTGAACTGTTACTCAAGCCCTACAGCTCTCTTATGCCAGGCTTCTGCTTGTGCCCACTGTCCCCAGTGAGGGATCTTTCTCCCAGACCAGTCTCCTCAGCTCTGTGAGAGACAAGAGACCGCAGAGAGGAAAAGAACCCCGATTTAACTGACCAACAAGTCTATGAAACCATCTCCTCAGAGAATTCCTGGACCCCCACTGGTCACCGCTGGCGCAAAGTCTTGTGGGGATTGTAGGCTACGTCTGCCTCCCACTCCCAGGCAGGTCTCTTAGGCCTCACTGGGCCCAGTCCCGCACAGCTCTCCAGAGGCCGACACGGATCGTGACAAATACTTTCTCATAGGCCTCACCAAGGCAACCCTCCCAGACCCCTCGCTTCATCAAAGAAAGGGTGGAGAAGTGTTGGGTGTGGTTTTAGAACAACTAATGGACGAGTTTAGAATGGCCTTTTCCATCCAAACACATATTGGTGCTTGGGAAGTCACTGATGTTCTGATTTCCCAAGAAGGTATGCTGACGCCGCCCTGTCTTCTTTGATTTCATAGGAGGGTAAGGTAAAGGTTCCCTTGCTCGAAAGCCAGCCGAGTCCGACTCTAGGGGGTGGCGGTGCTCATCTCCGTTTCAAAGCTGAAGAGCCAGCGCTGTCCAAAGACATTTCCGTGGTCATGTGGCCGGCATGACTAGACACCGAGGCGCACGGAACGCTGTTACCTTCTTCCCACCGAAGTGGTACCTATTTATCTACTTGCAGTTTCTTGCTTCCGAACTGCTAGGTTGGCAGGAGCTGGAACTAGAGACGGGAGCGCACTCCGTCATCATGCGGCGCACTTGGGTCTCAAACTGCTGAACTACCGACCTTCCACAGCCTGCAGTTCAGCGTCTTAACCACTTGAGCCACCGCAGCTCCTTCATGGGAGGGAGATGTTGTCAAAACCAAAAAGGGCCGCTTGCGTCCTCCAGGTCAAGAAGGGCAGGACAAAGGGCAGCCGCTGGCTCCTTGGGGGGCACTGCCTGGTTGCTCTGGAAGGGCCA